CGCGTTTTGCACAGCTACCCGGCGGGCGGTTGCTGTTAAGAATATTCACTGCGCTACAGTTCGGTACGCGCAAAAATACAAAATTCCATGTATCTGTGAATGAAACCTAGGCGTTTTGAGAGCTAGATTTGAATATATAAGTTTGTTTTTCACGAACAAAAAGCGCTCTTCAACAATTTCAATTTCCTGTTTGGGTTAGTTCGTGAACTAAGAACTCCTTGCCGTGGAATGGCCAATTCCACCAAAAAGATGTGATTCGTGGGGGTGGGGAGATTTGGGGCTGATCCTTTTAGCCTTTGTGTTTTGGGGCTTTGTGTTGGTTGTTCTATGTATGCGACATAAGGGGATTCGCCTGCTGGCCTTCCCATTCGCCTGCCGCCTTCCAATTTGCTTGCCGTCTCCCGGTTCGCGTGCCGCCTTTTCGATTTGGCTGCTGACTTGCCATTCGCCTGCGCCTGAGGATTTGGCTGCCGCTTTTGGATTCGCCTGCCGCCTTGGGAAAGCCGCGAAATTCGCGATACTCCCCATGTAAAATTTCACTTACCCGTAACTGAGGCATAAACGTGACTGAAAGCTCAGTTTTGAGTTCCAGGATTATACATTCAAAGGAAGCATTAAAGCAAATTTTCAGTTTCTCATCTTGCCGGTCCTCAAGACAAAAAATTTTGCACCAAAACTCCGACGTGTTCGTACACGGAGCTTGAGCGTGAATGGGACTAAATTTAAATTTTTGAGATCGGATATGGGCTTGGAATGCTGCCTCAAAATTTCAGCTTCATAGCTTTTGCAGTTTCCTAGCTGAAAAGTGTAGACAAAATGCACTCCCACACATATGCACGCATACAGGGGCGTGATAATATGCGTTTTGTGCAGCTGTTGCATAGCACAAAACGCACAAGGACCGAACACGTCGAAACCTGAAATGGTGACAATGTGGTTTTATTTGGCGTGTGTTGAGGACAAAAGAATGTCAGCGGAATCGGATTATTGTCAAGTGGTTTTCTCAAATCATGTTAATTTCACTTGTCCCCAGTCATTCTCAGACAGTTTTCCAATAAAACCTTCAAAACCTTCTATGATGCTCCCATCATGTCCAGCGAGCATTAATGAGATTAATGATTTTTGTGCTGTGTTCGAATCCACTCTAATCATCAAGTACACATATCCAATCTTCAGAAGACAGTTCAAGGCAAAAGCTAAGCAAGCATGGAAAGATGGAAAGTTGTTCTGGTAAGTGTGGCACTGGCTATATTAGCTGCGGAAACTACAGGAAAGCAGTGGCGGAGATGTCCAAAAAACTCTTTGCTGGTAATGTCTGGTTGCTGAAAGATGCAGAACTGAGACTGACTTGGCATACAGAACTGAGACTTCCGTACATAAAACAGAGCCTTGTGTGCTTCATCCCGGTGGCTTGATCCGAAGGCTTTCATAGCTAAAAAATGCTGCTAGAAAAAATGAATGCAGAAAGTGATAAATGGGAGCGACGAGTAGTCTGTCCTCCGCAAAAACAGATGAAAGTTGAAGGCAGATCTCAAGAACTGCTATGTCGGAAATAAGTAGGGCAGTCCAAAAAAAATCCCCTTTAACAACGTAGATTGGAAAATTGTGTATTCAAATAAAATATAAAGGAGTACATACAGAAAGCTTATCAGTGCCAAGATATCCAGTGCAGGATCCTGAGCCGTAATGCAGTGAAAATGATCTTCCATCCTCTTTATATGTTTTTGATGCACTGCAACAAAATGCATCATGTTCAGCATTTCATTACATTAAAGCTCCGTTGAGCTGCCACGTCACTTATCTGCTATCATTATGTCATAACTAAGGAACAGCTTTGTTCAGATTTTAGCAGTATTGTTTCGGCAAATAGTCAGAAATGAAGCGGCTACTTTTTGTCATGATACCGCGATGCTAGACGAGCATTATCGCTTTGATATTGGACAGCTCCCCAAAGTAGAAAAATTTTTGATTTTTTTTGTGGCAAAACTGCAACTAATCGCTAAACTGTTTAAACACACGCTCAT